CCCCCCACTAAAGTAAGATAACGAAACTCATCTGTGTAGGCTTTGACAATTGGAAAACTTATTAATTTTTATCAATTAAGTTTCAGTGTGGTTTCATCCTTTCCATGCTCCAATTGCCAGTACTACAAACGAATATTTTTCTTCCTTCTCTCGGGAGTGGAGATTTAAACTCTTGTGAAATTATTAATATTGCCATTTTTAGATGTGATTCAGTTTTGTCCATTGATAATAGCTGAAGACTAACCAGACTAACATGAGAAAATCTTGAAATGATGCAAAGGATAACGGCACTAAATCTGATTTCACCATTGATGTTAACATTTCGTTGGATGGTGTTTCGACGATTCTCGACTTTTATAAGTGACAATAGAAGTGCTCATTCATTATGACCTCACTTCTTTCACACAAAAATCAAATGCAGTTCATTACTGTTTTCATTTGTTGCGGAAATCATCCTTTTGGGTATGGGATATAATCTTTCTAACAATAAATAAAGAGTAGTTAACATGGCGTATGAATAAGCTGCTCTAATATCGTACCATTCCGGTGTAAGCGATCCATTGGTTTCTGAAATATTGGTTTTGCATTTTAAATCATTTGTGCCCAAGACAACCGCAAAATAAAACAGCCAAAGTTATAAAACGCGCATTTATCAACCAAACGATCTGTAATTATCTCCAAATAATTTAATGTCATCGCAACATATATGTTTGAGCAGAGTGTGGAAGAGGTAGCCAAATCAAGCAAGTGAAGTAGTACAATTTGAGAAAGTCGTTATAAACTGAAAAATTCACTAAACGCTCCAGAAAGATGGTATATGAGCCTGATAAGGTTGGATAATGAGATTATCATGCGTGAACAAATTATCTCAACTTGTGTATCTTCAATTCTAGAGCATGGAAACTCCATTAAGTGACCAATACAACCCGTCACTGACTTCTGATCTTGCAGTCCTTTAAGTCTTCGATTGGAATTTAGTGAACCTCTGCGACCAACAAGTCTTCTCTTATATCAATCGTAAGATTGGTAATAGCCCAGTAAGAAAATCAGACATAGCATAGTTAACTTGCTCTCAAAGAGCTCTAAATGTAAATAAGGGGTATCCGAGATTTTATTTTCTATTAAAGGGGGTGTGTAATAGACTTACCTCCACGTGGTGCACCCTGGGCAACGTATACTCATACGGCAAAAAAGTCTATTAATCGGCAGTTGACATCTGACTTCAAACTACCATGACCCCATTGCATTTCATATTCGAATAATTCCACAGTATTCACCTCACCTTTTTTCTACCTTTGTGTCTGTCTGTCTCTTTTACGTCTGTGAATCATTATTCTGTCCCCCTCTCCACTTTTTACCAGTTGGGTGTTCATCTTCCTTTTTGTGAAGCCCGAAGTCAACTAAAGTGCTAATGATACCTATCATAACGCCTGCCATTTGAAATAAATAAATAAATTTTCTATTAAAGGAGACTCCGGTGTGCCAAATTAAAATTCAAGCTTGACAACTTCTGAATAAAGCATTACTTGGAGATCAGAGAAGCTTGATTACTCTTTGTTTGCTAATACTGCACAATTGAAATTAGAAGGAAAGATGTAATAAGAGAGAAAGAAGGATTTTCACTCAATAGCCTCTCTTCTACATCGTGCTGCAGTAATGTAAGTAGAAGACAGACGAAAACAAGTTGAGTAAACGAGGCAACAAGGGTGTACCCTGAATCTTTTAATTGAGCCAGATAGAAGGGCCTTAGAATTTAGAATTTTCAACCTATTAATGCGATTCCTGGCGAAGTCAGATATCGAAATAAACGGATAAAATTTCTATCTCCTGATTCTGAAAGAGTCGAGCAGTGATGCATGATTAGCCAAGCCTCCAGAAATTCATTTGCTTGGCCCCAAAATTCCACATCGGTCCAAAAGTGGGTGTAAGCATGGAAAGGAAACTTGGTTGCCATCGGAATGAAATGATATTAATCAAGCTGACCTACAAGACACACTACGGGATAAGAGGAATTACCCCTGTCATGCAGCAAAGGGCTTGACCACTAATTAAAGTTTCCTCTGTGTTCATTCTACTTGTTGATGTTTCCTTACTGACTGGCGAGATCAATAGCTCACTTTCATTTCTCTTTCTTACCAAGTAGTCCTTACAATTTTTATAACAAATGGTAGGCTTTATGGTAGTAATGCTTTAGAATGTGGGGCGTCGGTAACTCTCATCATACCGCAAGTGGAACCGTAAGCGTCTTGATCAACGTGCATGTCTGCCAAGTTAGAGGTCATAAGGAGCAGGTAGGCGTTAGTACTAAATACAGGTAAGATAAGGCAAGTTTATGGGGGCTGTCCGGTTTTGTCATGCCTGAGTAATTGGATTTATTTACATCAAATGAAGGGCTTTATGATAGTTATCATTAGCCATTTTGTTGACTTCGGGCTTAACAGAGGGGAGGAGCATCATAAAGTCATAAAAGTCGAGAGGGGAAACAGAAGAGTGATTCATATATGTTATAGAGACAGACACGAAGATAGAAATAAAGGTAAGGTGAGTACTGCGAAATGGTCGAATATGACTTATTGTCGGATCATGGGGGTTTGAAGTCAACTGCCGGTTTGTAGACTTTTCTGCCCTATAACGTTGCCCAGGATGTACCACGTGGAGGTAAGTCCATCGCGCACCCCAGTCTCAACCTCTTACAACATTCATTTTATGAAATAGCTGGCAGTTATTGATGCTATTTACAGGTAACACTTACTTAATTCAGGTTAAAGGTTTGATAACACACAGCTCAAGAATACTCGATGTTAGAAGTAGTTTGCCGATTTGTACCGAAGCCAGCCAATTAGGCCAATATAACAGGGGGGGGGGAGGGGAGACAGAGAGCAAGAGTTAGAATATAAGTAGTGGGCGTTTGTTGATCATCAAGGTGACCGTCTGTTAGCGAGAGTAGCCAAATGTTCGGCAATAAATGCTTCTAGCTTTAAAATTCAAATATATATACATATATATATACCACGTGGAGGTAAGTCTATCGCGCGCCGCAATTTTGCAAAATTCATTCCATGTGTAATGAATTGGTGTTTGATTGATTCAGAGGCTTGCCATTATGCAGTGTCTGGCAGAAGAACCGTTTTGCGACCTAACCAAGAGAAGGATTATATTTTACCGATGAAAAGCTACTAGTCTTTCCATATTCCTACAGAGTTTAAGCGCTTTCACCTCTAACCAATTTCAATTTTGTCTTGCCAAATAGTATCTTTTTATTAACGGCAACTTATGTTAACGAGAGGTGCGCAATAGACTTACCTCCTCGTGGTATATCCTGGGCAGCGTATACTAATGCGGCAAAAAGTCTATTAACTGGCAGTTGACTTCTGACTTCAAACTACCATCATCCCACTGTATGTCATATTCGACCCCCTTTGACAGTACTCATCTTACCTTTTCTCTGCCTTTGTGTCTGTCTGTCTCCTTTACACCTGTGAATCACTCTTCTGTTCCCTCTCGACTTTTAGTCACTTTGATATTCCTTTTCCTCTGTGAAGCCTGACAACAAATTAAGGGCTAATAGTGGCTATCAAAATGTCCGCCATTTGATATAAATAAATAAATGTTTAACGAAAATCGCCATCAGTGGAGTTATAATAGAGAGCTTTATTCAGGCATTTGGGAAATATCTCACAGAGGATTTGTCATTTACTTGCCTCGAATGCTAACACAAAGCAGTACACCGCTGCATAGCCAACTAGATAAATGGTAGGGTTATTCGGACCAAACGATGGTTCAAATTAGCCAAAGTTGAAATCATGTGCGTGCCTATTTGCCATTGGTTAACAAAGGGGAAGGAAGAATTCGTTCCTCTCAAAAGGAAGGACCCCACACCCTCTATCAGGGAGGAGTGTTATGAAATGGCTTGTGGCCGAATGCGCTTGATCACTTTTCTTGAAAATCGATCATTATTTACCAAAAAAAATTTGCTATTTTAAAATGAAACTAGGCAAAGCATATTTCAAATTGGATATGCATCATCACCTCATATACTCCATAAACATTAACGAAAAGTTGTGCTTGAGTGAAAGTGAAACAGTTTCTTTCAGTCTGTTTCCTTCCCCCCCCCCCCCCCCCCCCCCCCCCCCCCGCCTCGCTCTCTCTCTCTCCCTGAGTTCTAGCCTCATTCAAAAGATTCAACTAAAGTATTTCATACTTTCTCCTCTCTTGCAATTAAAATGACTGCTGATAATGAGAATGTTCTTCGGATAGCCTTGTACAGTGCACAATATTTCTGCCACAACACATAGCATACTGATGTGTTGTAAATTTTCAGCCAACTTAAATTTGTCTTCTTTTTCTCTCCACCGCCATTTTTATGGAAATTTTGGGATTATTATCCGGAATGAAACAAATATCTTCCATTTCTTCCTTCTACCTGAGTGTGAGCAGCAATCGTAGTCATAGTACAAAGTATAATTGAGGACCAGTGAATAATTACCTTTATGTAAGAAAATAAGGAATCCCGAACACAGACATTGGATTGTAAACTATTACACAGCAATAATATTCTTTCCAATATAAAAGAGAATAGGTGACACACACAGTGAGGGAGGGGGGGGGGTAGGGGAGGGAGATACACACAAATTGTTGGGCAGAGGGAGGAGACTATATGGTCACGGATAGCAGCATAGAATTGTAGTTTTGACAAAGGGAGTTGAGGTGATGGAAATATTAACCGCAAGAATATGTATAGGTGGGGCAGAAGTGACCAACAGAGAGAGAGGGGGGGGGAGTGGAGGGGTCAATTTCCGCTGAAAAACGCATAAACACTCATAGACAAACACGCATGATTCCATGATGACTCCAAAATTTACAACGCGGAGTGAGGGGGAGAATGCTGACAAGGAAGGAAAGGCATATAGGAAGAGAAGTGGTTAAAGAAGAAAGGGGAGAGGGCTTGAACACACCTCGGCAGTGCTTCTTCTTCTATTGCTTATCAGCATCACTGTTGCTGTTGTTGCTGCTGCTACTACTACTACATTCATTTGGTAATTGAGTCTTTAAATCATCGGGGAGGGGATCAGTGGACCAGGGACGACGGCAAAGTCGGTGCAATGCTGTGGAAGGTAGCGCTTCTTGACGCTTCTGTCTGAAATAAGCGGACGTCAAAGTAGTGGTCATTTTAAAGCAAACAAAAAAAACATTTCAAACGGTCTATTGTTTGACATAATAACAGAATCATTTATTACGGCCGCTTCACGTCAGTACTGAGGCTGCCTTAAGCCCGATTTGACGCCGAGAAATACACATAAAGAGAGCAAGCTAGCTAGCTCATTAAATCAGTATGGGAAATCTTGCAGACCACATTTCAAGAAAACAACATCACTCCAGGATTGCTATGAAATCGTCCAGAAAAAGAGCAATTTTACCCAAAACAATTCTCAGTCGTCAAATATCAACGAGAACTGAAAAATCTGCACAAAGTTATGTCCCCTCAATTAAGGGTGTGCGATATACTTATCCCCATGTGGTGCACCCTGGACAACGTATACTCATACGGCAAAAAGTCTATTAATTGGCAGTTGATTTCTGACTTCAAACTTCCATCACCTCACTGTATGTCATATACGACCCCTTTCACAGTACTCACCTTTTTCACTCTACCTTAAAGTCTGTCTCTTTTACATCTTTGAAACACTCTTTTGTTCCCTCCCCCCCCCTCTCGACTCTTTTTTCACTTTGATATTTCTTCTCTGTGAGGCCTGAAGTCACCTAAAGGGCTAAGGAAACTATCAAAATGTCTGCAATTTGATATAAATTAATAAATGTCCCCTCAATTATTATGACGAGGGGTCTTTTAACGCCGATTGCCGTCTCGAAAATGCTAAAACATCACACCAACGATTTTCGTAGAGAAGACATCAATGTTTTTGTTCTATCTATGGGAGCACAACTTCATAGACAATGAAAAAGTACGCCATCAAGTGTCCACTTTGCAAGTGGTTTAAAAGTACATCAAAATTTCATTCACAAAGTTGATAACAAATACACTACCTCTAAACATATATATATATATATATATATATATATATATATATTACGGAATAAAGAGTTTACTAAGAAATATAGATTCAGGTAGTCGGAGAATAATTTAAAACAAAAAAATAATAAATTTTTTCTTTAAATTTATAAGTGAACCAAAAATAATGGAGGACGTGAAGCCAATATCCCCACTCTTTCCCAAAGCGACTACTTTATAACTATACATGCATTTGCTTTATGAATTACAGGAGTGAAAGATAAAGTCAATTATTCAAACGTATACAGAGTGCCAGCCACAGAGCACGTTGATAACTAAAAAGTGGAAGCAAGCCGAGCAAGCAAACAAACCGCAGGTACGGAAGCCCACACAGACTTGCAAGAACACGGAACGAGGTTCAAAGGTGAAGTTAATAAGCCGCGATAAAATCTTGAACTCTTATATGCTTTCTGCTTCATCACCTTATCACACCCTTACGAATCTTTAGGCACTTTCAAAATTAACTTGCCATTTCTAAGAATGAAATTTAATAAATACTTGATAATACAAGGCTTCAAGTACTACTGAATATATTTAAGTAGACAACACTATTTACTTTATATTTTTGGTTGCGTGGAACATCAGGGTCTCGGTTTTGTTACTCGACGGGGAAGGGGATTGAGTTTCAACAACAGCAGAGGAAGAGTTGGAAAATGGAGAGGGTTGAGATGGGCCATCACTTAGAGGTGTAGCAGTCTCCCTCGCACTTAACATTCCTGTTTCAAAAAAAGAAAGTGTTAGTTCAATGGCAATCAGTATGCACTGAATTACAATCCGGATTGATATTTGAGAAGCAGGCAGTATGATGAACATATATACGTAAGTGCAAGGAATTCTCTAGACTTCACAACAGAGGGATAATCACAATCTTTCATGCTTGCATAAATGATTATTACGCATCAGCGCATTTACAAGCACCAAGAGTGTGTGACGCACAAAATTAAGTAGGAAACTTACTTATTTTTCTACTGAAAAGAAAGGTAAACACAAGAGAGCGATTAACAGGGAGACAGTTAAACAGCAATACTACTGAAATAAATTAAGTAGGCGCTGACCCATCTTGAGGACGGAGATTTCCGATACATTTGCAGAGACGTTTCATTGCGACCTCTTTGAGTTGAACTTGAGCAGTCCTATTGTAGACCGTTTCAGCTAGTTTGTTGAGAAGTTCGGGGTTGATGTTGAGACGGGAAACAAGGAGGGCTTTGAGTACGGCCATCTCCAGGGTGATGGGTTTGAAGGGTCTGCGTGCACGTTGTCGACAACCACCCCCAACTTCCATTCGACGAGCGAAACGAAGGTTTGGAGAGGCAAGAAAGTAGAAAGTGGCGTTACGGCTGGCTGTAGAAGAATGCGGTTTCGAGGAAGGAGTCTGACCGGAGAAAGTGAAGTTCGGTTGAACCTGATTTGCACAGGCACTGCCGTATTGTGGATGCTTGGAGTCCAAGTGATAAATGAGATTCAATTTGTCCTCAAATTGTTCACTGCAGGACTGAAGGGGACAGTTGTAGACCAATGTCATTGGACCGAGTTTATCTAGGAGGAAAAAGTGGTTCAGTATTGTCCATTTAAAAATTGGAATGATTAGAGAAGTGAGTAAAATTATTATTTGTGTATAGAAGCCATTATTTACACGCTTATGAAAAACAATAGAGGTTAGTTTCAAGTATCAGAATACAATTCACAATCTTTGCAATTCTAAGTCTGACTAATCTACAATTGAGGAATTGAAGATGAAAGTACAGACAGCGATCGGGAGACTGACTAACACCTCCAAAATAGGCTAGAGATATCCTCATCAAGATGATCCTGATCTTCACAAAAACTTAAAGGAATTTATTCTAAACCCAGATCTCATATAAAACAGATCTACGGAAGGTCTGAGCGAAATGGTTGAACTATTTGTTCTAGGCCATTCTCGAAGATTTCAACTGTTTAGCAATATCAATTATACTACAGCCAGCTCTTTCGAGACATTAAAACTCTTACTGCCAAACCTTTCCTTGAAATACTTTCAAAAATGTACAACTTTATACTCAAAGTTTGAAAGAAAGCGTCATGTGCGTGAGCGAACCTTGATACACATCTAGCAAAACAACGAGACATTATCCCTGACCTTCAGTAAAATTTCCCCGATTTACTGACCTACCCATTATCAAACCATTTTTACTTTCGTGGTCTTGGGGTGTGCGATAGACTTACCTCCACGTGGTGCACCCTGGGCAACATATACTCATACGGCAAAAAGTCTATTAACCGGCAGTTGACTTCTCACTTCAAACTACCATGGCCCGACTGCTTGTCATATTCGACCCCTTTCACAGTACGCATCTTACCTTATTCTCTACCTTTGTGTCTGTCTGCCTCTTTTACATCTGTAAATCGCTCTTCTGATCCCCACCCCTCGATTTTCTGCTACTTTGATGAACCTTCCTTCTGTGAAGCCCGAAGTCAGCTAAATGGCTAACGATAGCAATCATAACGCCTGCCATTTGAAATAAATAAATACTTTCGTGGTCTTTGAATCACTCAACATCGATCCTCCTGTAAAACTTATGAACTTGAAAATCCCAATTATTTAAGTACCACCTCATCATTGTAGCAACATTAGTGTGTTATTTCACCTTACGAATAGTAAAAAAAACGTGGAGTTGAAGATTAAGA